CAGGTGTAAAACTAATGAGCGGTTGTTATTGTTAATTTGAATAATTAAAACAAAGAGAGAGAGAGAGAGACAGAAAATAAAGAAGGAAGTCGATGCTTCTCTACAAATGTTCAATATTCAATAGTGTTTGTATCAAACTGAAGAAATGCCTGCGTACACGTTTATCTCATGACTAAAGGGAATACGAATGACTGAAGAAGTGAAATTTTTGTTCTATTATTAATAATAATGAATCATTTTGCATTTAAAGGTGAACATGCGTTAGAAAAAAATACTTATGTAGTCCAGAATGTAATCTATGAATGTCTTGTCGTTTTCCTTAGTGTTAATTTTACTGTATACTGTCCAGGATCGACCTTGTTGGTCCTGATTGCGGTAGACTGAATAATGCGATGGACAGTGGGCAACGAGGAGACAGGCATAAAATGGAGTCACACAAAAAAAACGTGGACGGTCTGGACTTCGCCAATGATATATGTCTGAATTCCTACAACCTGGAAGATATGCGAGTGAAAAGCAATAATTCGACAGAAGAAGCATCAAAGATAGGGCTTTAATGAGCAGAGAGAAGAGAGAGTTAGGTGATGAAAATTCCTGGCCAACAGCAACAACAACAGACAACAATCAGTATAAATGGGAGAAATATGAAAGAAGCACCTTCCTTTACCTACCTACGAGGGAAGCTTCCTTTCAACTACAGGTGGATGGAACTGATGAGGATATCAAAGCGAGGATCGGGAAAGCAAGGGAGGCTTTCATTACTCTCAAGTCTGTGTGATGATCAACAGCACTTCTCAGCATGAAATATAAGATCCGGATTTCCAACTGCAATGTGAAGTCACTGCTACTTGCTATACGCATTAGAGACTGCGTGTCATGATGAGCACTTTGAACAAGCTACAGACCTTCATAGGCAGCTGTCTTCGCTCAATACTGAAGATCAAATGGCCGGCCAAAAAAGATCACCAACAGGGATATCTGGTAATGGACGAACCAACCCAGCAGGAACCAGTTGTGCAACAAATATGCAGGAGAAAATGCAGGTGGTTTAGCTTTACTATGAGAAAACCATTAAGTGAGTGGCATCCCACGCCAGGCCATTGCTCGAATGGAACCCGAATGGGAATTGGCGAGTTGATCGTCAGTCCGGTGGTGACGTGGAGTAGGAGATGAAAGCATGTGTGTAGACGTGGGGTAGGGCGAAAACGTTGGCAGAGAAGCGAACACGATAGAGACGTTCGGCTGAAGCCGTATGTTCCTCTCATAACTAAAGGAAACAATAATTATATTAATACAAATCTTACTTTTGTTCAGTCTGTCTTATTGATCAGATGTCATACTAAGTGCCCTTCAACGGTCGAAATAAATGTTTTTGTAAATCTTTGTTTTACTCTATCATTTCATTATAAACCTTGAGGGCATTTATAGACAAAAAGATATCAAAGTTCAGATGTATGCACCAGATTATCCTTTTGATTGATTCATATCTAATAAATAACTATCTATTTTCCTTATTAGAAGAAAAAAATTGGAATGTAGGAGAAAGTCATTATTCCAGGTGAAAATATGTGGATTTTGAGTTTTTCATGTTCTCCACTATACCGAATGGAACACAGGGTTTCAAGATTTTGAAGTTTCAGAAGAGGTGGTGTTATCTAATATTATTCTGTAGGGTTTCCAGCCTCATGCTAAATTTCTTCCTTTTTCCTGGTCCTGATATGGATCAATGTACTAGGTGAAGTCTCGGACAGAATCGAAAGAAAACCAGACTAGGATCACGTATGTGGTTGGCTATTATTCTACCACCGAACGACTGACGCAAAAGTATTTAATGGACAGTGGAAATTGTTCAAACGATTCCGTCTCTATCCCCTATCTACATCCAAAGTTTATCTGACTACTATTATTATTATTAAGACATGGAAGCTAAGGTATATTATCAACTGATCGAATCGCTCTTTATATATATAGCAGTATATATACGTTAACCAATCACCGAGCGCGTAATTTTGATTTACATCAAACAACATGAAATAGAATGTTCAAATACATATCGTATTCTTTTGTTAATGCAGTATATAATCGTGGGAAAAGTATTCTGTCTAACAACATTAAATCGAATGTTCAAGTAGATACATTGTATGCAGTATTGAACTGTGAGAATATGTGAGCATAACATTCCGTTCGCGAACATTGTCTGTATCACACCACCACACTACTACTACTACTACTACTAAATAACACACTAATAGTCGTAAAGTTCACATTGTTTCGCCTAGTAAACTTTTCTCTTTAATGCCACTTATATATATGCTACATTGTTTAATAACTGAAACCATAATGGATCATACTGATCATGCTATTTTCATGTTGTCTTTTCTAAATCATTGGCGTTTTAAAAAGCAATAATAGTAGACACTTTACTGCCAAAAAGTAGCGTTTATGCATGGATGGCATAAGTGTATTTTCTAACTACTCAAATCAATTAATAATAGTGTATACTGAGTGATGCTCATTATATTTCAAAGTGATGCAGAAGTTTGTATGTGCACAGTGTTTGATATGAATTAAACGCATCTGATGAAAGTCACCAACAAGTGAAAGAATTTAAATTCTAATAATGCTTATTGTTTTTCATATGTTCCTACCTAGTCAGATGTTACTCTGATAGTGGACCAGGAATCACTCTTGTCTCTCTTATTTCTGTTGCTTTCTATTACATTTATTGCTTTGAAAGTTTATATGTGCACGAACCATTAGCTAATGATGACAGACAGACCACCTACCTTTAGATCTGAAAAATAATGAAAATTCTTAAAATTATATTTGGTCCATATTTAGAAACTTTTTCATCAATGTCACTGAATTTTAAATTATTATAACTATTACCTTGGGTTCCGAGTGGAACATACGGCTTCTACAACGCATCTACATGTTCTTCCATTCTCTGATGTCCTATTCAGCTGGGTGCACGATTACATGTAATCTCTCATCTCTGCCTCCCCAAAAGATCTCCTCCAGTGTCACCCTCGCACCGACGACCCACTTGTACCTTCCCATTGAGATTACACTCCAGCGATGTACTGTATTGCACACAATGTCATTCGATGGCCCAATCCATGTCCATTTTCTCCCACAGATTTGTTAAGCGATCGGCTCTTCGTTGGTTTGTTACTAGCCAGAGTTTTTTGTTGCTAATTCTTTCTGGTTGACTGGCCATTTGGTCTTCAGCTTGGTGTCAACGAGGGCAGCTAATGATTAAAGTCCGCTGTGGCCTGTTTGAAATGACTTTTGCAACAAAACAGGTTGCTTACCCATATGGAAGAATTGACTGACTGACTAACTTCACATTTGTGTTGAAAATCCGAATCTTGTTCTTTATATTGAGTTAGTGAGGGATGATGAAGGTGTATCTTGTCCTCCCGATCCTGACTGGCTTTGATATCTCCATCTGTGTCATCCTCCTGTGGTTGAAATCTTGCTTCCTATTCAGATAAGTGAAGGAAGTAACTTCTGTCGAATTTCTCACGTTGATGGTGAGTGGTGCTTGTTGTTGTTGCTGTCGCTGTTCGTTGGTTGGTTGGTTGATTATCTTCATCACCTCCGTCTTCTTTATGTTCATCTGGAGTTCTGTATTCTCTGGCTGCTTCTTCAGCCACTCTGTTGGTCTCCTCCTGCAAGTCTTCGGGTTTGTGTAACATTAGACAAATGTCATCTGAGAAATCCAGATCTTCTAAATTCTCCTCATCGGTCCAGCGTATTCCTGTCTGTTCACTCCCGTGCACAGTTTGACGGATGACCCAGTCCACCACAATTAAGAAATATCATTGGTGATAATAGGCAGTCAGCTTTGTCTTATTCCTGTCCTCACTTCAAACGCCTCACTGAGTTTTCTGTTGTGGATCACCTGACACGTGATTCCCTCATACCACCCGCTGTTAAATGAGGTTGGTAAAGATGTGGATACTGCACTTCATAGTATTGAAGTAGTCTCCAAATTACGTCTTGGTCAACGCTGTCTGTTGAAGACCTTCTTAAAGTTTTGACTGCCATTCTATGCCTTGTTATGTGATGACGATGATACGCAGAGTTGCTATTTGATCAGCACATGATTTGCCTTTCCTGAATCCAGCTTGTTCCGGTGGGTGGAAAGGTTTTGCATTCAGTGCATCTTTTATTCTCTCCAGGATGATTCGACTTAGGATTTTACTTGGCGTGGACAAGAGCATGTTTCCACTACATTTCTTGAGAGTGAGGCGAAAGTCGCTCTTCTTTGGTAGCTTGACGAGGTAGCCAGCCTTTCTTCCAATCGGTTGGCAGCTTTCCTTCCTTCCACACCTTTTACAATGATAGCGTGAGGCCGTCTGCCTCTGCCTCTGAGTCCGTTTTCACTGCTTCGGTGGGAGGGGGCTGTCCGTCTGGTCCTGCTGCCTTCCAGGCCGGTGTTCAGTAATTTGGTCGCATTCAGGATTTATGTATATATATGTATATAACTATAGGGCTAGGAAAAGAAGTTATCGGAAAAAATATTCTTAGCTCAATGCTTCATTCTTTAGTTCCACTTACCTCGAAATTATTTACACTTATTTCAGCTATGTTGGACATACTCTTATGTAATTATAGATTTCTTTCATTAGTAGGTCTTTATCTTCAAAGTAAATACAATCTCATTAGAATGATATGATTTATGTTGCTTTGGCATTATTTAATTTAAACTCTGTCACTTGGAATAGATTTTTCATGTACTAGTATATGAGCCAAATATTAACTGATTATAGTACATAGTTGCCCATGCTGAAGCAGGCAGAGTAGAACTCAAACCAGGGAGTCAACGGCTGAAAGTTGAGTAAGTATGTCAGTCAACCGCATTTCCACCTACTCCAAGGTAATAAATGACTGATTTTAAGAAAGTGAGATAATAATTGATGACAGTGGTTTCATTACTTTAAACAATGCTTGAGCGAATTTACTTAATCGTAGGTTTAATAACATAACATAAGATAAGCTTTATTCCAAATCAGTACTTGTGATACAGAATGGAATTCTCAGCATTTTACTACAATATTGCATCCAGTTTTTTACATTAACAATAAACAAAGTTCTACATAGTTTAAAGTTATCTCAACAACATATTAGTATGTCGGTAGCAAAGCCAAAATTAAAGTGTTTGAAGTTGTTTGAAAAGTAGATACTACTAGCATATTTACTGGCGTAAGCGATAGCAAAATGTTCGAGATGTACAGAGCGTGAAAGAACGAACAAGAATGTTTTAAGTAGAGTTTGCAAGGAAGAGAGAAACAAAACAGCACATAACAAAAATAAATAGAGAAGGAATAGGGAGAAAACGTTGTACCTGTAAATGATGTGAGTTGGAAAGACGAGATCCCCTTGTTCTACTGACTATTTAATAAGTTAAAGGTTTCCCGCCTAACGCTTTCTTTGTCGCACAGAACTCGAGCTAGGTAGGGTATGGATGAGTTTTTGTACTTACTAGTGCGGGCATATAGTTTCCTATATAGGCTTCTTGTTTTCCCTGAAGAGATACATGGGGAGAGTTGTGAATGTAGAGGGTGTTGTGAGTCAGATAAAATGGATTTCGCCCATTTTTCACATGAGTCCATATGCCTGTCCACCAGAATATTAACTAGCTGGCTAAGTGGCACGTTGCTTACCCTGCTGACAACCTTTAACATCCTACGTAATAAGGTATAGTCTTTCTTCAATAGCCCAGGAAAGACTAAGGGGGAGCAATAGAGAATAATAGGCAGAATACGGGAGTTAACAAATTGTAGGAGTAAGGGTTGGGTTACACCAGAATGTCTTAACTTCTTGATGTAGAAGGTAAGACGGTATATTTTCTTGGAAATCGTCAAGATATGAGACGACCAGGAAAGATCAGAAGATAGAGTGACGCCTAGGTATTTAATTTCCGACTTGGTTTCTATTTCACTGCCATCTATGTTGCACACCTCGTGAGTGCTAACCAGTTTGTTTAGGTCAGATTTATGCCTAAGGGTGAAATTAACTGTTTGGCATTTGGAGGGGTTTAAGGTTAGACCGTTTTCCTTGGACCATTGGCTAATTTCCGATAAGAAGCCATTTAGTTTAGAGCAGTCACTTTGACATTTGACAGGTAAAGATACAGTTAGGTCATCAGCATATTTGACAAAGTTAATGTCATTTGAAGACGGTAGGTCATGTAGAAAGAAAGAAAAGAGAAGTGGGGAGAGTACAGCACCTTGGGGGACACCAGCTTCTGTGAGCACAGCAGAGGAGGATTGGCCTTTGTATACGGTGTACTGCATTCTGTTTGAAAAGTAGGAATGCAACCAGTTAGTGACCCAGGACTCGGTTTGTGTCATGGAGAGCTTATTTAGCAAGAGACTTCTAGGTACAGAGTCGAAAGCAGAAGTAAAGTCAAGAAACGTGCAGCGGACATATTTGGCACCTTTGTCTAATGATGAGATAATACTGTTGTGTAAGACGGCTGCAGCGTCTAAAGTACTCCTACCCTGTCTGTAGGCAAATTGTTTGGGGTCTTCGAAGCTTTTAAGGGAGGGTTCGAGTTTAAGAAGTACTAGTTTTTCCATGAGCTTTAGAAACGGGGAAGTGATGGCGATGGGTCTGAACTTTACGTTCTTGCTATTTCCAGGTTTAGGGACAGGGACTATTTTAATGTCTTTCCATGGAACAGGTACAACGTTTTCACGGAAAGAAGCATTTAGTATATTAGTTAGAGGAGAACATAAAGCATCTGCACATTGTTTTAGAACATATGCAGGTATGCTATCAGGGCCAAGACTATGTGAGGGCTTAAGAGTTTTAAGACATTTCAAAACATCGAGAGTATTGAAGTCCTGGAAGTTATCAGCTACAAGATTGGTAACGTTAGAAGTGGTTATAGTAGAAGGAGAGCGTATAAAAGACAGATTAAGAGCATTAACATCACAAGAGGGAAAAACATTACATCGCTTACTTTTGCCAGTAATTTCATTGAAAAGTTTCCACATGCTGTTAGGAGATTTGCATGATAAAAGTGTTTGGTTATAGATAGCATTAAGATTTTTGATTTCAGATTTGATTTGAGCATTAATCTTTTTAAGTCCTAACTTGTCTTTGCATTTATATAACATTTCTTTTTGCCTGCGAAGTTGTTTGAGACGGGGAGACGAGAAGCGGTCGAGGCGTTTGAACAGTGTTTGTTTGGGACAGCATATGTCGAGGCAGAACTTAAGATAATCCATTATATTGGTGATTGAGTCATCTAATGTACTTTCATAGAATAGATCCCAGTTGGTATCTTTTAACATGCATCTTAGATTGAGTAAGTTGTCAGATGTGTAGCATCTTTCTTGTGCTTTCGTAGACAGGTGTGAGAAGATTTTAATATGTGTTTTGCTGTATATTTTTGGCAAAACGCGGACAATGCAGTGATCGGAGTTATGTATCGGTGAACGTCTACGTGTTTCATATACTCCTTCGTCATTAGTAAAAACGAGTCGAGTGTTTTGTCAAGTCGAGTGGGAAATTTGACTATGTTTGTGTGACCAAGAGCTTCAAGAAAGGAGCAATCTGATGTGTTGAAGTCTCCAGTAATAACGGATAGAGAGTTGTCGAAGTTGGCAGCAGCAAACATGGTGAATTCATCAGCAAAATTAGATAGATCAGATGGAGAGCAACTAGGAGAAATGTACATGTTTGTAATATAGAATTGTTTATATTTGGGGAGGTGTTTGGGGCGACATTTGACAGTAATACAGTCAATGAAGTCATTTGAGAAGGTGAAGCAGACGTTATTTGAGACAGACCATTTGGAGTGAATAAAAGTTGCAACGCCACCACCATTTTTCTTATTACAACATTGACGGTCTTGACGAAATAAAATAAAGTCCTTTAGTGAGATAAGGTTGTCATCATACAGTTCATGCAACCACGTTTCTTGTAATGCGATTATGGCGGTGTTATGATACGTATCAGTTGACATCAGGGATTGTAGGTACATTATCTTATTTGGCAGAGAGCGACAGTTTGAGTTCATTATGACGGGGACCGTAGTTAAGTGTATTGGTGTACGTTTGAGAGCTCTCTGCCAACCACTACGATGTTTCCTTCTTGGTTTCTTTGGAATATGAAAGTCATTTGGTCGTAAATCATTAATAAAGTTACGAGAGTAAATGATTCTGTTAGAATTCATATTTAAGTGATAAATGTATGCTGGTAAACAGTAAACTGGATGCAAAATGTAGATATTTTGGTAGCAGGCCCAAAAATTCGAACAGGCCGCCAATGTCACGTGAAACATGAAATAAAAGATTTTCGAAATCATTTGTGCCTTTTTGGCTTTATCGATAATATGAATTCGAAAGATCAACTTAATGTGATTAAGCTGAATACGTGTATGTGTATGAAATCTGACACTAATCCTTTTTGTGTGTTTAATGTACATAATGTAGACAGGTTGTATACTAAATCGATTACCGAAAACACTGTACATACTACTGATTGATATGAGTGGTTGAAATTTACTCACATCAACACAATAGACGTCATGAGTCAAATTGATATGACCTCAATTTTGGGACAGTTGTTTTGAGGCAAGCTACATCAGCTGTGACACCGGACTGACTCCTTTCGTGAAGCTGAATTAGTCCAATACACTAGAATTCTGACCAGTTACCTGGACAATCTGTCTTTCTATATATTGAAATAAATTACTTGAAAAATCGTTATTCCAGGATGTCTTCTGAGGGGAATTTTTAACGTGTACTGCTTAGAACACCACCACAGTGGTGTATTTTTTTAATTAAGGAGCTCAAGTAGGAGAAATTTTATTTGGTCTTCTGATAAGTTAGCCTGAAATACAGCGAAATTACTGAAAATCCATAGCTGTGAACTAAAAATTGTGCTAATAATCATTACTGCACATTTTATTTTAAAAATTGGTTTTTTGCTTAGCATTGTTCGGATTAATTCATATTAATGACGTATTTGTGGTTTATACAGAGGATTAGGTGATGATTTGTGTTTAATGTCACACAAACTCGAAGAACTGCAGACGGAGACCAACAAACTGGCTGAAGAAGCAACCGGAGAAGACAGGACCTTAAGAAAACATGGAGAAGATGGTGATGAAGATAACCAACCAACCAACCAACGAACGAACCGCAACAACAACAACAACAACAACAACCAACACTAATTACTATCAACGAAAGAGATTTGACAGAGGTATTTCCTTCACTTACCTGGCCAAGAAGCGAGGTTTTAACCACTGGGGCATGGCACGGAAGAAGATGTCAAAGGCAGCCAGAATTGAGAAGGCAAGATACACCTACATCAACCTGAAACCAGTTTGGAAATCTTCTGCTGTCACCCAACCAGCATAAATAACAAGTTTCAAATTTTCAACATAAATGTAAAGTCGGTCACTTCTTCTGTATGAATCAGAAACTTGGCACAGCTTATCAAGAGAAGGATTTCCAACAAGTTACAGACTTCTATCAACAGCTGCCTTCATTGGCTCCAGACTGAAGATCAGATGGCCAGCTGGCCAGAAAGAATTACCGACAAGAAACTTTGGCGATGAACGAACCAATGAGGATCATATCCCTCAACAAATATATACAAGAGAAAATGGAGATGAATCAGGAATACGTTGAGGAAGCCATCGATTGACATTGCGTGCAATGCTTTCCACTATTGTTATTATTATCATCATTTGGTAAATAAGTTAAAAATGTGACGTCACTCAGGTTTTTATTTTAATATTAGTCATTAATTCATAACCTGAACGCTCATACCGTCAATTTAAGGTTGTTTAAACTAGTTTTAAGCACATTCCCCACATAGATTAAAATGTAATTTTAAAATCTGCACCAGAAACTGATAAAATTATACCAATAAAACAAAATAATTGAGCAAAGAATATCCTTTTCGATAATTTCCTCCTCTGGCTCTACAATCATATATATATGTTTATATACATAAAATATTCTAGGTCAGTAGTCAATAACAATATCAGTGTTTTTTAAATTGTATCAGTTTGTGAAGTAAGATCAATGGAATTACAGTTCATTAAAGATACTTTGTAACAACAGAAGACGATGGCCAGGCAATAGATCGTTTATTACGGAAATCAGCACGTATTTATATATATTTAATGTACATTATTATAGCTTATTCGAGCTGACAAACACAATCTCCTGATTGGTTGTTTCTTGCTCAAGGTTATTCCGTACTGCTTGTGACTGCGAATCGTATTTGTCCACGTTAAGTCTGCTGTGATTAGTTGTTGAACCAGTTTTGTTCATATTTTCTCACGGCCAATATTAGCGACATAGACATTGACTTAAATTAATGTCTACCAATTGGCTAGCAGCCTGTTCTCACCACAACTTAAATCATAATAATAATTATAATAAAAATAGCAAATAGAATATCAACTATAATTAGGAGAATTTCTACGAAAATTGAGTATTATTCGAACCTAGATGTCGAAGTTAAGGACAATGTCTGAACTAGCTTTTTTTGGACACCTAAATAATACCTCTTAATGTGGATCGCAACGGCCAGCCTCAGCAGTATTTAGTAAACGAACTCTCCAGACGAAGTTAGGATTTGTTGGTATGCGGTAAATGACTCTGAAAGCCTGGTTAACATCAGTCTTGTGTTCTGTATCCACAAGATAGAATAGCACTACGAATAGATTTTGCTTGTCCTTCACTTAACCACGCAGCTTGATGTTCGGAAGTCCGATGAAGAATATGCCCAATTGTGTGGCCTATGCAAATGACTCCACAGGAGCAGTCAAATTGGTAGATACACATGGAAGAGGCGAAATTAGGCAGTTCATCTTCTACTCCAGAAGGTGAAATAGGGGTGTTTTTGAAGATACATCAAGATAATTCGGCAGCAAGGAATGCTCTTTTTACCACATTTCTAAGGCGCTGTGTTAGTATTTCGCTGATGTTATCCCAGAGGAACTGAAGTTGTACGAATAAATTACTTTCGAAACTGTTAGTACTTTGGCCTTCCTTGACTTTCGATGCATATTCTTATCTATGAATTCTTTCTGGGTAACCATCTTCACTCAGCTACCGTTTAATCTTATTAAGTTCCCCATCAAGACATTTATCCGAGCAGATTACTCTTGCTCTGTGAACCAAACACTTTATCAGATTGTGTTTGTATTTCAAAGGCACAAAGCTGAAAAGTGACTATACTGACCAGTTGATGAAGGTTTTCTATATACACTTCTTCTTACTGTGCCATCCTCTTTTTTGGTCATCAGCACGTCTAGAAATGAAATACTAGAGTTTCATGAAAAATTCGAATAAGTTCACTTTATATTTCTGAAATCTGAGCTGAGTGTGTTACCCTAGATGGACAATGAAGGCTTCACAATTAAACTATCTATCTCAGAGACGGCAATCACATCAAAATACTCAAATCTTGTGTTGCACCGTGAAAGTAGACTTTATCAAT